AAAATGAGTGTTGTTGTTGCTGTTGCTGTTGTCGCTGCTGATGCTGCTCTTGTTGATGCATTCTCGTTGTTGATCCCCCCCCTTGTGCCCATTCTGCCCTTCAAGTGAAAGGCTCCTCCCTGGTCTCGCGCAATTTGTTTAACAAGGGAAAGTCGTGGGGCTCGGAAAGTGTTGCTGACCCCCGGTTTACAACAGCGGCTCCCGGCTGATATGTACGTCGTTTTCACCATGTATTCCAGCATAGCGCTCTCTCGTGGGTTGTGCTGACAGTGTATGTAGGAACTGGAAAGAGCGCCAGTGAACGCTCTCGTAATTGCAAGGGGGGTTGTAGATGCAGAGCCCCCTCCCTGCCCCCTTCAAGGGGGATGGGGGCGTCTTCTCTTCGGAACCCCCCCCCCTCCCACTCTTTCAAAAAGCGGGGGTGGGAGCTTCGGACCCCCGTCCCCCCCCCTCCCCCCGTTGGCTCTGGAGGGCCCTCCCCCCCTTTGCTCTGGCGAGGAGGGGGGTGGCCATTTCGCCCCGCGCCGGAGCGCTGGACACCGTGCCGAGTGTCTCGCGCCAGGGGCTCCGGCGAGGGCCTCGGTGTTAGGTTCAGGGTAGTGTCATCAGGACGTGGTGTTTCGTGTGTGCGGTCAAGGGTAATGGTCAGGGCGGTAGGGCTAGCTGGTAGGGGGGTCCAGGTAGGGTGTTATGTCTGCGGAATTAGGGTTGGGGCAACGGTGTTAGGTGTTAGGTTTAGAGTGTTCGGGTTAGTGTGGACGGGTCAGTTTTGGGTTCGAGGTGTTCGGCTTATGGTATTGGGGCGGGGGTCTGAGGGTCAGGGTGCCAGGGTGATTGGGTTATGATGGTTGGGCTTGGGTGTAGGTTAGGGTGTCTGGGATAGGGTGCGGGTGCTGGGGTTCGGGTGTTGGGGCTAGTGCGGTTGGGTTAGGGACAGGGCGGTACGTCTAGGGCTTAGGATTAGGATTGTGGAAGTCGATTAGTAGAGGGGAAGCGTGCTGCCAAATAATTTCCGGATGTCTGGAATATGTTTCAAGAATGTTTTAAATATGCTAAACAAATCATGTCTGAAACATTCACAGAACATGTTTTACACATTCTAACCACATCCTTAATTCAATGATAGGGTTGTTAGAGTGTCCATTGTCATGGCATCCACAAGATTCGGATGTGAGGGCTTGGCCTTTGGTGTTAAGGATAGGGTGTGAGGGTTGCGGTGTGTCGATTAGGGTGTGAAAGGGGCAGGCTGTTCAGGGTAGGGCGATCGGGTGTTCGGGTGAGGGTGTGCGGGTTACGATGTTCGGGTGTTTGAGACAGGGCGCTTGGGTTACGGTGTTAAAGGATGGGTATTCGTGTTATGTTGAGGGCGGTACGGTTAGGGTGTCAGGGCGTTTGCGTTGGGGTTGTAGGGTCAAGGTGTGATGGTCATGGTCAAGACGCTAGGGTTAGGCGGTACGGTGGTAGGGTTTGGCTGTCAGGGTTGGAGTGTTAGTGTAGTTTGTGGTGGGGCTAGGGATTTCGGGTGTTAGGGTTAGGGTGTGAAGTGCATGGTGTTCGGGATAAGGGTACGGTGTTAGGGTGAGGGTGGTGGGGTTAGTGTGGTAGGGTTAGCTTGTTCGGGCAAGGGCTAAGGCCAAGACGGTAGGGTTGGGGGGCAGGGTGGTAGGGTAGGGTTAGGGTGCTAGGCTTAGGGGTTGTCCTTAGGGTTAGTGTTAGGGTTACGGTTTTAGGGAACGGGTGTTAGGGTCCGGGTGTTAGGGTTAGAGCGTTTGGGGAAAAGGAGGGAGGATTAGGGTTAGGGTGTGGTTAGCGTTCGGGTTCGTGTATAGGCTTTGGATTTGGGTGTAGAGTTACGGTTGAGGGTTTCGGTGCGGGTTGGGGATTAGTGGTTAGGGTTCGGGTTCGTGTCAAGGGCAAGGGTCAGGATCGGGATCGGGCAAGGTCAAGGGTCAGAAGGCAGGGTTTAGGGCCATGTCAAGGGTCAGGATGGGATTAGGTTTGAGGGGTTAGGGTTAGGGGTTAGGGCTCGGGGCCACTTGCCTCGATTCGAAGCCCTCTGGACGTTTCCCACCCACCCATGACCCATCACATACAGAAGTCAACGCGTCGAGGACTTCAGTGAGATGCGTCATGCGCAGTAGTTGCGCAGTGCCTCAACCCGATGCAGCGGCGATGCGACAAGGGATCGAAGCGACCAGTGGGTAGCTCCCCACACAAGGTTGCCGACGCATTGGCGATGTGCTGCGCAGCTTCGCGCGATGTTGGGGGGCTATGAGACACTCCACCCCCCGCCTCTCTTGCGTCCGTATCCACTTGGGCTCTGGGCGGGCTGCCCACGCAACCCTGGCAAAGCGCTGCTCCCTGGTTCGCGCCGCCATGACTCGCAAGCGCCTGGCGGCTTTCGGGGCAGCCGCCTTTTCTTGGTGGCGCGGCGGAGGCGGCGGCCGAGCGAGGGCGGGCCCCGCGTCGGGTGACATTCGGGCCCGTGGGGCATGCGCGCATCGCGGAGGCGGTGCGGGGCGGCGCAATGGTGCGCGACTTGATCAGGGATTCGGGCCGCATGCGTGGGAATCGTAATTGTTGCTAGGGACTCCAGCCCCATTGGCAGAACACCCTGTTTTTTTACAAGGGACAGCGGGGGGCGCCGAAGGGGCGGCAGAAGGGGAGTCCGCAAGGGATCTCAGGGCTTAAATCTGCATGGGCTCTTAGCTCTTAGGGGTTATTGTTAGGTCAGGGGTGAGGATTGAGGTTAGGGTCAAGACACCCTCCACGCAGCAGGTCGTCTAGCTCACTCCAACCCGCAGTCCCGCCCGCCCTCCCAACACCCGAGCCTCAGCATGTTCAACGGTCGTCTTTGGATGGGCATCTACTGGGAACCGACACCGAACCCAAATGTGCGACGCTGGGGCGAGGTGCGCCGCGCGTGCCAGGCGCGCCACGCGCGCCAGGCACCCCTGAGGCCCGAACGGGCCATGCGCACCTGGTGCGCCGGATGCGCCACGTGCATCCGCGTGCGCCAGGTGTGCCGCGTACTCCAGCCGCGCCAGGTGCGCCACGTTCGGGGCACCTGCAGAGTGTGCCTATATGCAGGGCTGTTCCTGCACGGGCAACGCGCGTCACAAGTCATTCAGTTTGTGAGTGAGGTTAAGGCCTACCTGTCCTTTGAAGAACATGGGATCCCCGTGGGCGCGATGAGGCTTCGGAGAGAGAATTTTCGCAGGTGTCCGCCTCCACGCGGCCGCCACGGCCGAGCAGGTTCAGGGTCTAGACAAGGTGCTGCTGATAGCCGGCATTGTCTGCGAGTTGGCCGCTGCTTTTCGCGTTCAATGGCCATTGTTCGATTTGAAAGGCGCCGAGCATGTTGTTCCAGATGGGCGGGCCCGCCAAGGGCACCCTGGCTGCCTTCTGGCAGTCAGTCTGCCTTGTGAGGCCTTGAGACAATCGCTGGCGATGCAGCATTTGTCTCAAGGCCTCTCGGTTTCAGCTCCGCCCCCGAATGGTGGTTGTTCGGGTATCCTCGGGGACTGGGACTTCGGGGATATGGAAAGACACTGCCATTCTGCGGTCGGCCTGCCATGTGACAGTGGCGAGGTGCTGCACATTTGCACACGGTGCGCAGCGCATGTTGGTCCAGGTTCTCTCGAGCACTCCAACCTCAGTGGCAGATGTGACCACATGATGACGGCTCACAAAAGTGTTTCTGGCGCCGCGTGTTTCGTAGGGTTTGCCCCAGCTACAGTTCGAAGCTGAAGGTGGGCCCCGATGGAGTTCGAGACCTCACCGTGTGGGGCGGATTTGAATCATGATGTAAATCGTTACGGTTGCCCTGCTGGTGTCAGTGGTCGTTGATGCTGGTGAGCTTGCCACACATATGTTTCCCAGTTGGAGTATGTTGTGGCTTTACAGTTCCATCTTGCTGGTGGTAGTCATGTTGTTGCCGAGCAATGTGGAAAGCCATTTCAAACATATAATGCGTGTTGATCCCCCCTTCGGTAACCCTTTGGGGTTCGCGCCGTTTTTTTTTTTTTTTTTTTTTTTTTGTTTTTTTTTTGTGTGTGTGTGTGTGCGCGTGTGTTTTTTCAAGGGACAGTTGGGCGTCGCCAAATTGTGCCCTTGGTATCAGGTTTACAGCAACAGCAACTGCGGCTCCCGCCTGATACTTCCACACAATGTATTCCGACATTGCACTCTCGCTTGGCACTTCCTCAACATGTATGCAGGAAGCGCGCTCTTGCGTCGGACATTTTTGTAGTTTATTTAAACGCTGTGCCCGTGACGCTCAGGAAACGTGTTCTCGCTGTGGATTTTCCACGAATAATTTGGGAATTCGGCTGTCGTTCATGCAGGACGCACGTTTCAGCAACCCACTTGCTCGACCTGGCCTCCTGGGCTCTCCTTCCCGACCCGCCCGTTCGGGTCTACGCGCCCGATCTACCCGCCAGGTTGTGCCAAGTGCTTAGTGCCCCTGGCCCCCTCGTGCTACTCTCTCTCGTGCTCCATTATCCTCCCTCCCCCGGTGTCCCTTCCTTTCGTCCGCCCCCTCTTCCCTTGCCATAGGGGCTCCACGAAATACGCGTTGCAGGTAAGAAGTATAGACCCCTGAGGTGGCACGATCGAAGACGAGGAAGGCGGGTGTCGAGGATTTGGGAGACACGTGTAGAATGGTACCCAAGCAGATAAGAGCGAACGGTTTAAACATTTTTGTTGGTGTTGTTGTTGGTTTGGCTGTTGTTGAACTTTCGAACTTTATTACTGAAGAGTAATTGTTGTTGACCCCCCTCTCGTAACATATGTGTTTTTCACTTGGAGTGCCCTTCCCGGGGCAGGCACCCTGTTCTCCATCAGGGAAAGTCTTCCTTCTCAAACTGGGCCCTTGGCTGCCGAATGACAACAACGGCTCCTGCCTGATACTTCCTCACAATGTATTTCCAAATCGCGCTTTCGCGCGGGACACCCTCACAATAGATTCCAGATTCGCGCTCTCGCGTGGGACTTTTTCGCAATGTATTCAGGCCCCGCGCTCTCGACATTCAGGAGTCACGCTCTCGCTGTGAATTTCCTCACGATGGATTTGGGAATCGAGCTGTCGCCCAAGACTTCCCCGCGACGCATGCAGGACGCACGCTTCGGCAACCCGCCTGCTCGACCTGGCCGCCTGGGCCCTCCTTCCCAACCCGCCTGGCAGGGTCTGCCCGCCCGATCTGCCCGTCTGGTTCTGCCACGTATTTTCTGCTCCTCGACCCCCTCCTGGCCTCTCTCGTGCTCCATCCTCCTCCCTCACCCTTTGTCCCTTCCTTCCTTCCGTCCTCCTCCTCCTCCTCCTCCTCCTCCTCCTCCTCCTCCTCCCTTCCCCTGCCTCAGGGGCTGCACGACATACGCGGTGAAGGTAAGAAAGACATACCCGCAATGGGGGCACGGTCGAAGGCGAAGAGGGCGGGGTATCAAGGGTTCGGGGCATGCGTGTTGAATGGCACACGATCAGATGAGAGCGAACAGTCTTGAAATGATTGTTGCTGTTTGTGTTGTCGATGTCGTCGTCCTTGTTGCCGTTGTTGCTGTTGTTCTTGCTGTTTTTGGTTTGGTGGTGGTGGTGATGTTGTTCTTGTTGTCGCCGCGCCCCCCCCACCCCCGCGACCCATCAACGACTCACCAGGACCCGCCCCGAGACCCACCCCGCGCCCGCCCCCCAACTTTGACCCGCCACTGCGGGGTGCCGCGTCATTCTTCAGAGGTCCGCGCGGGTTTCTTGGACCGGAGTTGGGCCCTCCCCTGGCAACGCCCCCCGCGCCTCGGCGCGCCAGGGAGAGGGGGCCAGCGCGGATCCAAGGAATCCGCTTGGACCTCCGATGCATTTTGTTGATGCAGGCTTGGCTCCTCCAGGCTCGCCGGTCAGGGAGAGCCTCCAGCTCGTGAACGCCGTCGTGATGCCGCTCCTCGAGGTGGAGCTGCCTCCGCACTACAAGTTTGACTTCGACCACTGGAGGTATGCTTACTGGAAGCTGCAGATCTGGACCCTCACCGATTACGAGAAGCTGATCTGGCTCGACGCCGACAGCATTCTGTACCGCAGCGTGGATTGGCTGTTCCAGGAGTCGTGGATGTGGGCTCAGAGGGACGACTGGTTTTGTGTCGGCGAGCAGAACGCCATGTGTTCCGGAATAATGCTGCTGTTCCCGAGCGTGGACGATTACAACGGTCTTCTGGATTATGCCAGCAGCGCGGACATGCCGAAGGGCGACCAGCAGCTCATCTGGGAGTATCTCAGAGGCTTGCGCCATCCCGCTCATCCTCAAGGACTGGGTGGCGCTGAAAGACCACCCCGACCCTCATAACTGGCGTTAGCTAGACAATCGCAAAGGTTGGGATACCTCCTTTGGGTGCTTTTACTAGAGAGGTTCGCTTGCAGGGGAGCGTATTCTGAGGGGCAAAGAACAGGTTGGCCCCAGGAGGAAGAGGGGCAGAAAAAGAGCAGAGCATCTGGTGATTGTTTTCTTGTTCATTGTTTCGCCGATCGGCGCGGGCCCTCGCACCCCCCCCCCTCCCCCCCCCCTTATGGAGTAGATCTTGGCTGTTTCTGGCGCGTCTTTCGAGCAGGTGCGGTCTCCCCCTAGGACGCCCTGTTGTAAATAGCCGCGTGAAGCAAGAAGGTCCGGAGCCAGACCCCCCGCCCTCCCCCCTCTCCCGCTCAATGCCGAAACGCCGAGTAAGAAAACGCTCGCCTGTCCCCCCGCGGAGAAGGGGGGTCGACGGATTTCTCCCACGTCCGGTCGCACGCGGTTGGTTTCTTGAGCGACGCGGACGCCTCTTTTGGCCGGTGCCTCGGCAAATTCACGTCACCGTACAGCAACCCTGACGGCAGCCAGGTGGGGGGCGTCTGGAGCACGCCGGCGTTTGTCCACAAGTCTGGCGGCTGGAAGGACGAGAATGGCAAGTACAGCAACGTTTGCTTTTCACACGTTCTGTCGAAGCAGTTTTACAAGGAGCAGCCCAGTGGCAGAATGATCAATGTCTGTACCTACCACCCGCTAGGCTCGTATTGGCGTAATTTGTTCTGCGAGGCTACCACCAGGATTGGGCTCAATATTCCCGATGCGAAGTCCTTCTGCAGCAATATCTGCTGGTATGGCTCTGCTCTTGGATTGCTGTCGATCGATCTAATCGTGGTCGATGTTTTTTTGTCATCTACTGGGCCGTTCATCATGCGGCCTTCTTTAATTCAGGATGACCCGACGGCTTTTCGTGTGATCGTGTCGCGTTCTGCACGGTCGCCATCGTGATTTCATGCGTCCCGTTTGCCTCTCCTGGAACTGGGAGGGGCCGAGGATGCGGGCTGGGAAGCCACAGCAAAGACGGTGAGACGAGGATTAAATCGGGCTTGTCCCTCTACAGGAGCAATACTGAAAAGTAGTCAAAAAATAGTCAGGGGACGATTTTTGTTTTACTATTTTGTGGCTATGTTTGGACTTTGTTTTACTAGTGTTAGTTTTTCCTCGAAAATCCCCCTGTAGGTGGACGGGCCCGCCTTAGGATGAGGACCGCTCTGCGCTCCGGAGGGGCTTTGCTGCTCGGCCCCCTCCTCCCGAGCCAGGTCGGGCAGCCCGCCCGTGGCCGAGGCTCGCCGTGGCCAGACGAGGCCCCTCGCTCCTGGGGCCAGTGCTCCGGGTGGTGGCACGATGCCCCGTGCGCGCACCGGTGGGGGCGATCCCATCGATCGGGGGTGGATAGACCTCCCGCCTTGACACGCCGATTGAGGAAACTGCCGTTTTCGGTCCGCGAGGGGGCGTCGCGGCCGTCTTTTGCTGCGGGTCCAGGTCCGTCGGGATCGGTCCTGGGCCGTCTTCACGAAGGGGAGGTCTACTAAAGGGAGGTTTGTCCACCGCGGAATCGATCCGATCGCCTCGAGTGTGCCAGCGAACCGATCGATGTGTGGGTGCGGTGCCGACCAGCGAGGGCGGCCTCCGAGATCCCCTGCGGCGCCCTGACGCCCTGGGCCGCGCGCCGCACCCAACCATTACATGTCATTGGATGTCACGCACGTGTGGCACCCAGCCATGACGTGCTATTTCATCGCTTCGCTCATTCCGCCGGTCCACATTGCCTCGCCGCTGTCGTTTGTCAGGGTGCTGTTGTCAATGCGGTGCGGTTGGGCGGCTGCCATTTTTCGGAGGCGGTGGGTGGCGTGTCAGAGGCCTCCAGGATTTTGGTTGGGCTCTCGTGGTTGGCCTCTCAGGGGTCTTGTTGGAGCCGTGTTGGGGGCCTCTTGGGGTCTCTTGGGGGCCTCTTGGGGCTTCTTGGGGTGCCGCTTGGAGGCCCCTGGGGGGCTCTTGGGGACCTCTTGGGATCTCCTGGGGTCTTGGGGCTGAAGGTTGGACTATTCGGTTCCTGGTCCCTTTCTTGGGCCCGGGGCCATCTTGGGCCGTCTTGGGGCCCTCTTGGAGGCTTCGTGGGCCGTCTTGGGGCGGTGTTGGAAGGCTCTTGGGCCGTCTTGTAGCGCCAGTGAGCCGAAAAAGGCGAGAACGCCGAACACCGTCAGACACCGGAGGAAAATCGCTAATTTCTACCTCTGTGGGCCCTTGAGGGTGGTCTCTTGGAGGCCTCTTGGGGCGTCTTGAAGACGCCTTGGGTTGTCTGGAGGCAGTATTTGGCGTCTTGGATCGCTCTTGGAGCGCCTCGGACCATGTTGAGCTCTTTTGGGGGCCACTTGGAGCGCTCCTGGAGCACTCTTGGGACCCGGCCGGGACCTCCCCGGGACCTGGCCTGGACCTGGCTGGGACCTGGCCGGGACTTGGCCGGGACCTTCGGGGGTACACCTTAGGCGATGCTTAAGAAAACCTAAGTTTTCGGCCAGAGTCTCGATTATTCTTAATGTTTCAATGTACATCCTAAGATTTGAATAGACATTCTGGGTTTTTATTAAAATTCTGAGACTATGAATTTCTTAACCCATGATTTCTTAAGCATTTCGCAGGGTGTACTCTTCGTCCGGGGACCCCCAGGGGCGGCCCCGCGCGCGCGAACTAGACATATTGTGAACCACTTACCGGGGATCTCAGCACGCCCTTGGCCCGTTGGGCCGGCGGATTTCGTTCGCCGCACCCGGGATCAGAGCTCCGACGACGCACTTGCTGACAGGCCTTGCGTTTTTTGCTTCGGTGTCGGCGTCTTGGGCCCGTCATCGGGCCTATGGGACCATCAGCGACGGATCCAGGTCGAGCAAGCCCCCATTGGGACCTCTGCAGAGCCATGGGGCCGTGCGTTCAAAAAACACATCGTCGGACGTCGGGGGTCTGCGGCTCCCTGACTCTCTGGATCGCGCGCCGCATCCGGCAGGATCCAGGTTGATCCGATCGTTCCGCTCCGAATCGATCGATTCTGGCCAGCACGGTGTAACGTTGCTGCTGCTATTACCACACTGTCATTGCTCTGGAAAGGCCAGGCCGCACAACAGCGCAGTCAGGGTGGTTCTCGGCATCGTCACCGTCATCCTTGCTACAGCTGGCACAAAGGTAAACAACCTTCGGAGGGGTAATATGATGTTCTTCGTGATTTGGCTTTCCACGTTTAATGTGTTCCGTTTTGACTATCTCCATGGGGCATTGGGCCGTTGGCGAAGGGGTTCATATTCTTGGTCCACGTTCTCGTGCCGAATCGACTGCGCGAAGGTTGCGCCGTCGCAGGAGCAGCAGACCAGCGGAAGAACTTGACTCCTCGGGGGAGCGCTCTGGCCAGAATCGCAAGGGAGAAGCAGGCCTTGGCGACGAGAAGCCTCTGGGAGAGCCCTTGGCATCGCACGGACGTGCGTATTCTTCCCTGGCGAGGGCCATCGAAGAGCATCCTGGGTCATCGAGCAAGAAAAACACGCACAGCACCGAAAAGGGGATGGACTTCCGAGCGACGGCAAGAGCCAGAGGACAGCTGAAGAATCATGGCACAGAGCATGCCTTCCGCCGTCGGGGACGCCTGCCCCAGGGCGCCGGGAGAGTGCGGGGCCGCCCAGGGGCGGGCGTCCTCGCCCACATGATGCAGGGCCCGAGAGAGCCCTGAAGCCTCGAACCTCGGCCCTCGCCCTCCTCCTCGCGCACTTTCTCGGCCCCTCTCAGAGTGGCTCACGGTCCGCTTCGATCCGATCCGACCCCGAAGCGTCGATTCCCAATCCTTTCCCCCCCCCCTTCCTCTTCGGGCCCCTTGTCAGGGCGGCTCGCGAACCGATTCGATCCGCTCCGATCCCCCAAAGTTCGACTCGGACCTCGGTCCGATCCGACCCCGACGCGAAGCGGTGCCCTCTCGAGCCTGCAGGGGCCAGGCCCGAGCCGCGAGGCGCAGGGGCCCGATCCCGAGGCGGTGCGGCGCCGCTGCGGGCGTGGTCCGAGCCGATGCGTTTCCGAGCCGACTCCGCGGCGGCTCGGTTTCTGTCGCGGGCGATGCGGCGTGGGCCAAGCACTGTAATACATGCTGCGACCACCCCTCCTCCTCCTCCTCCTCCTCCTCCTCCTCCTCCTCCTCCTCCTCCTCCTCCTCCTCTTCTTCCCCCTCCTCCTCCTCCTCCTCCTCCTCCTCCCCCTCCTCCTCCTCTTCCTCCTCTCGAAACTTGCCACGCCCCCAGTCGCAGACATCATTTTTTTCTGGAGGCGTCTGCAAAGCGTTGGCCTTGCCTTCTCGCCTTCTGGGCGTTCCGACGCTCGAGAGGACCCCGAGGTTTCCACGACGGCAGACGGCCGAAGCCGCCCGAGAAGGCCCCAAGACGGCCCGAGGGCCTCAAGGCGGCCCAAAACAAGGTAGCCCAATAGGGTTAGGTCGGGCCTGTCCCCCTACAGGGGGAATAGTCGAAATACTCAAAAAATAGCCTGGGGACTATTGTTTGAATATTTTTTAGTCATTTTGGAGTATGGTTTGAATACTCTTTATGTTTCGTCGGAAATCCCCCTGTAGGGGGTAGGCCCGACTTAATCATAGGGTCCCAATGCAGCCCCAGAGGCGCCCAAGAGGGGCCAACATGGCCCCAAGAGGGGGCCCACATGAGGAACCCGAACGGACACTTCGAGCCCTCTGTTCTGTAGTGATCGTCCTCCTGAAAGTTGTCATTGTTGTATACAACGGTATTCGAATACGTTCCATATAGCGATGCGATGTCATGTTATGCTCTATGACGTCCTGCTTTGTTCTCGACGGGCCGGCGTGACGCAGTGACGCCTGTCATATTAGATACGTCGTCCAATCGCTCGTTGCTGCGACTGTTGCATTATGTGGCCAAACTGACCTCGGCACACTCGTCGCGCTTGATCAGATGATAGTGCGGCATGTTGTGGTGCGATGTTCCTCTTCATTTCAGTGGTTTCTGTTTTGTGACCTTATGATGTGATATGTTATGGTGCTCTGTTCGTTATATGCATTTCTATGTTATAATTATGTGTGCTTGTATGTGTCATCGTATGTTTTGGTATGGTATGCTATGTTGCGCTCTGTGGCACCATAGTTTGACATGATCGTTTCTGCCCGTCTATGCTCTACGATGTTGTGTTCTGCGATGTTGTCGACCATATGCTCAGGCCCGTATAGTATGTATGTTTTGTTCCGTCGTGCTACTCAACTTCAGTCATGTCTCTGCTGTACCCAAGAGTATTGGCGGGCTGGCGTAACGTCGTGACGCCTTTCACGTTTGATTCGATGCGACCTACAATCGGTCAATGCGGTGCCTGTTGGTTCTGGTGGCCACCTCGACCTGGGTGTGCACGTCACTTTTGATTATCGAACTGTACGGTATATGATTGTTGGTTGTCTTCCTGCGCTTATGTTTATCTTCCGATTGAAGCAATCTCTGTTATACGCACAGCTGCCGCCGTTTGTTTTGATATGCTTTGCATATTGTGCCCGGCGGCACCACGTTATGGCATGATCTGCATGTCCAGTTACGTTATGATCTGTTCAGTGATGTTGTTTACGAGGTGACCTATTCCTTATCGTATATTATGGTATGACCTGTCAACGGCATACTGTTGAAATGACGTGTTCGTCGTTGATGGCGTATCAAACTGGCTCTTTTTAGCCGTAACAGTATTATACTACGTTGTGCTCGACCCATTGTCTCATACTATGGTCTGTTATCCCATGATTCTCCTCTGGAAAAGGTTAGTGTCTGTGATGGATCGTACTTCTGTTGCCGCTCTGGTAGCAATAGTAAATCACGTCTGTTGTGGCCTGTTCGGATGTGCTATGACTTACTAGTCGATGCTCCGCCATCTCATGGTCTGCGTTGCTGTGTTACGTGGTGATCGATGTTGCGTTCAGTCATGCCCTGCTTCGCCATGACATGTAATTGCATGCTCTGTCCTGTGTTGTTATGTTCTTCTAGTTCACCATATGTTCGTCGCCCTCTGTCGTGCTATGTGCTGTCATGGGTTGGAATGCGCTGTGCTGTGATGTTGTGCTATGCCATGCTTTGGTGTATCCTGTCATGGCTATGGTACCCCGTGCTACGCCATGATATGACATGTTATGCTATGGTATGGTTTGGGTTTGTGTGTCGCGTCATGCTGGTTGATGTATGCGTATGCCCGGCTCTGCCATTGAATGCGTTGTTATGCGGCGTTGTGTTATTATTCAGCAACTCATTCCATTATAATATGCATCATGTCTTGTCATGGGTTGGTAGTGTTCCGTGTTTCGTTTTGCTATGTTGTGATCTGTTCTGCCTCGCTCTGTCATGGTATGGTGTGCCATGGTGTTGACTGATTGGTCATGCAGTGTTGTGTGATGGCATGCTTTGGTATGTCATAGTGGCCATGTTTGATATGTTATGGCATGGTCAGGTATGGTATGGTATGGAGTGTTATTGTGCGTGTGTTGTTATGATATGGTATGTCCTGTCCGCCCTGCCATGCCATGCGTTATCACGACATCTTACGCGTTAACATGTCATACCAGGTGGTGACCTGCTCTGTTAATCATGGTATGAGGATATGCTACGATCCAAGAAAGCATCGATATGCTGTTTCCCTCTCTGTCATGGTATGTGATGCATGATGTACAATGCTACGACATGTGTTGATGTGTTATGTTATGATATGATATGCGATCGTGTGTCATGATATGTTCAGCGGCGGTGTAATGGTATGTGTTGTTATGTTGTCTTATGTCGTGAAGTGCGATGCTGTGCTCAGCTCTGTCAGGTTCTGTCGCGTTCTTCGAAGGGGGCCACGGGGGATTCTCCGTGAACCTGGGGATCTGACGGCCGTGGTATGCAGAGTGTGCGGGTCGGCGCGATGCGGGGGTCTCGGGGGATTCTCGGTGGACTTGGGGATCTGGCGGCCACTGTGTGCAGGGTGGGCGTGCCGGGAGGTCAATTCTTGAAACCCAACGACCCCAACCTGCAGGTGGGGAATCACGGCCGCAGCCCCATGTCCCCATCGTTCTGCGGCCTCTCTCGAGCTGGATCGATCTGCGAGAATGCAGCGGCCCGAAACCAGGCGAAGACACCCAGCGCGGAAAAAGTGCGACGCCAGGATCTCAGGGCGGTTGAGCCGGACTTTGGCCGTGGCCCCAGCTCCAGCGTCGTTGTTTTTGTCTCACAGCGGTGACCCCCAGTGGTCTATAGACCCCTTCCCCGGGGGCGTTCTGTTTGAGGCCCGTCGAGTGCTCCCGGAGGCCAGACATGGCCGAACGCCTCCCACCGTGATTGCTTCGCAACACGAGGAGGCGGGGATTCGGCCCTGGAGGCGGCAGGGCCAGGTTCCCTGAGGTACGACATTGTGAACAAATTGCCAGACCAGGAAAGATCACGGCCAGAGCCCCGGACCATCTTTCTGCTGCATGTCTCGCGCCGCATCGATCCGTGAAGCTCCTTGGGGCCCGAAGCTGGGCCAAAACGCCCAGCGCGAAAAAACAATGCGATGCCAGGGTCTCAAAGCGTCTGAGCCAGGTCTGGGAAGCCCCCCGACATCTGCAGCGCAGGTGCTGGCCAGCTCCAGCAGTTTGCGCTTCGCCGCCCGTCCTTCCAGCGGGCTCTTTTGCACGCCCATCCACCAGACAGGGGCACGGAGGGCGAAGAGGAAAAGGAACAGGAACGAGGCGAGGGCGTAGAGTTGTGGATGCCACGACAACGGACATCCGAACAGTCTTATCATTGAATTCAACATGTGTTTAAAATGTCGGACATGTTCTACACATGATTACAACATGCGCTACATGTCTACAACATGTCTAACACATGTTTTAGACATCTGGGAATCATGTGGCAACCTGTTTCCTCTCCATGGAGCGCCCTCCACAAGCGTCGAGGAAGAGGGCCAGGGGCGACGAGGAGGTGGTACGAGCTTGGCATCGCTCGGACGTGTGCATTTTTCCTTCGGCGAGGGCCATCGAGGAGCACCCTTGATCATTTGGCGAAAAAGCCACGCACGACACAAAAAAACACAGGGAATGGACGTCCGAGCGATGGCGAGCGAGGGACGGGGCGGGGAGTGCGTGGGGAGAGGGCGAGGGGCGAAGACGGGGCGGGAGGGAAGTGGCGAAGAGGGCCTGCTGCAGCCCCTCCCTCTGCCGCTCCTCGCTTGTTCCTCCTCCTCCTCCTCCTCCTCCTCCTCCTCCTCCTCCTCCTCCTCCTCCTCCTCTTGTCCTCCTCCTCCTTGTCCTCCTCTTCCTCCTCCTCCTCCTCCTCCTCCTCCTCCTCTTGTCCTCCTCCTCCTCTTGTCCTCCTCCTCTTGTCCTCCTCCTCCTCCTCCTCCTCCTCCTCCTCCTCCTCCTCCTCCTGTCCTCCGGAGGGGCCTCCTCCTCCTCCTCCTCCTCCTCCTCCTCCTCCTCCTCCTCCTCCGCCTCCTCCTCCTGCCAAGACACCCTGGCGCGGCTTCCTCCTGCATCGGCCGAGCCCGTCTGGCGCCGAGGTCCGCCCCCGACCCGCCCCAGGCGAGGGGCCGCCCTCGGCCCCTCACCCCCGCCCCCGCACCCCCCCCCCACCCCCTCCCGAGCCGAGGCCTCGAGGGGGCCTCCAGCAGCGACGAGTGCCAGGACGGGGCCTCCGCCTCCGCTCCTCCCTCCCTCCCTCCCCGCCCTGCTCCCCTCCTCCTCCCCCTCGTGCTCTCCCCCTGGCCCTCTGCCCCTCCGCCCCCCCATCCCCCCCAACCCTCTCGCGCCACCGCTGTCCCCCCCCCCCCCTCCCGCTCCTCCCTGCTCCTCCTCCCTCCCGTCCTCGGAGGCCGTCTGCAGAAGCATGAATTGTCGGAGCTCTGCCCGGAATTCTTGGATCTGCGCTGGGCCCCTCTGGCAGCGCCTCCGGCGCCGCCCTTGACGCGCTCCGCGCGCAAGGAGGGGGTCCAGCGCGGATCCAAGAAGTCCGCGGACCTCCTACAGGTCATGTTGCTGCAGTTGTTTGTTTCTCTACTTCCTTCCCTACCCCCCTCCTGTTTTCCTCCTTTCCTGCTGCCCCCCACTCCTCCTCCTCCTCCTTCCCTCACCCTCTCTCGCGACCGTTGTCCCCCAGTGGTCTGACGTCAACGTGGCGGCGGCTGCCAAGTATCCGGGTGTCTTGGTGGGACCTGGAGCAGCCCCCGCAGACCAGTTGCACCAAGCCGGCCCCAAATGGTGGCAGAGAACCGTAGCAACCAGTAATCCCCCATTCCCAGTGGATTTGGCGGCCCGCCTGAATGCCGTCCCGTGCCTGCCCGTCCTTAGCTAGCGCGGCACAGTTCTTCCCCATGCCGAAGGCGTTGTGTCACGGAGAGGCGCATGTGGTACCTCGAGTTCGATGCATCCTGAGCTGCGCATCGCGGTTCCCGACGGCGGCCATTCTCTCCATGAAGATCCTCGGTTTCGCGTCGGTGTGGCGCATGGCGACAGCCAACATCACTGACTGGCAATCCAACTACCAAGCCTTGCAAAAATCAGCGGGGACCCACCTCGGATTGTGCGACCTGGCTGAGGGAAGGTTGTCTCCCACGTTTGGACCGAGTCTCCATCGTCTAGCGCTTCGAGGCGCTTGCCAACTGTGTCCTAGTGGGCACGCCAACGGCCATTCGCCGCCTTCAACGCCAGGCAATAGTCGTGATTCATCGCGCTGCTCGTGAGCACGAGCAGGGCTAACGTCCTCATCACCAGCGACGTCTGTCCAAACTCCTGCGAGTATTAGCAACTATACCGACCAGCTCGAGGTCACCATCCGCAAGGGGCTCCTCGCGTGGTTCGGTGAGGCTCCCTCCGCTCTCACCTTGAAGGCCCGGTGGCGTCCCCCTTCGAACAGAGCTCGCGAACGTGACGCCCGCCTGGCGTTGGCTCTGGCTTCGTACCCTGTGCGGTGATTGGCACACCCTCCCACTGTGCAGTCAAGACGCCGAAATAAGGACCGCTTTGGGCTCCGGAGGGGCTCGGGTGTTCGGGCCGCTCCTGGGACTTCTGTCGCGGATATTCTGTTTGTGGCCCAGGCCCGCCGTGGCCAGAAAAGCTCCTGCGTTCCCTCTGGCAGCACGATGGCCGTACGCACGCGCGCCGTGATCGTGCACGCGGCCGCTGGGGCTGCGAGGATGGCGTGGATTCCATCCAGCACTCCCTTGTCTGCCGCGCCACGCCCGGCCCCTGGCGTCGCTCCCCAGGGCCTCTCCCAAGATGCTGCTCCTCCAGTGCGGCCGGGTTTCGGGGACGACCAAGGCGCAGGAAGACGACGATTCCTCCGTCGAGCTCCTGCTTCCCATCGCCCTCGTCTCGTGTGAGCTGCGGCCTCCGCCGTCCCGCTCCGATGGGCGGCACCACCGCACCCGATCCACCAGAAGGCCTTCGACCCCGCAAAACATAGTTCTAAGGCGACCTGGGTGCGGCAGCCCGCCGCTCAGGAAGCCGCGCCGTGCTCTGGTGTCCGCCTCGGTGCGCGCCCACGGTCCGTTCTCCCCCCCTCCTCCTGTGAATGGAACCCGTATAATACCCTCATATATAGTCCTTATCCTCACCTCTCTTGCGCCTGGCCGTTTGGGCTCAGGTATTGGATCCGATCGATCAGACCTTTGATCGTGCAGGAGGAAAAGATATCAATCTTTCCCTCCTTTCCTCTACCAGCGGATCAGGGGTTGTGTACATTTGTACTCTAACCCCATACACAGGCTATCAGCCCTGTAAAGATCACAGTTTATCAAACCCCGCGTCGCGATCTCGCACGCGGCTTCGATGGAACCCAAGCGGCGCATGCGCCGTAAGGGGTCCATCGGGGCCTCGCGTCTGGGCTCGCCGACGGCGCGACGGCTCGGTGATGAGTTGGAGAGCCTTAGTGTGGACCGTGTAGGTGTCCCAGGTACCCCCCACAGCTCCGACGGACCCGAGGCGCGGCTAGCTGCTGAACTTCACCGCCACGCCGCCCGCGGGGGGACAGGAGAAGGAGTAGGAGCAGGCAGTCGGGAATTTCACACGCCTACCTTCGATCCTCCATCTCCTCCTCCGTCGGGAGCAATCCCAACTGTGTCGGGCGCGAGCCCCACTGGTCCTGATACTCCAGGGTGCTTTCGCGCTGACCGCCGATGGACCACAGGTGCTGGCATGACCAGCCCTGCGACCGCTCCTGTAGCGGAGCACGTAGCCACCTTCCAGGAACTCAGTCGACCAGTGACGGCGCAGCCGCAGACGCAGTACCCCCAGGTATCATCTCATCAGGCACCACACACGCACGGCCCTAGCCGCAGCTCGTCCTTGCGCAACCGTCGCGGGGCCACAGGCCCATACAACGAGAAGAGGTCGAGTCCGCGTGCTGCCTCGCAGAGGCCATGCACTCCTCGCGAGAGGGTGCAGAGGGGAGCTGACGCTCCCCACCTCTCCATCTCAGATGACCTGCTGGCGGCAACGTCCGCTGCAGGCGAAATAGCTGAGCTCAGAGACCAGGTTGGAACCTTCGTGTCCAGACAGTACTCTGGACTGATGCAGAGCGTTCAGACGAACGCTGCCAATACTGCTGCTCCACGCCATGATCTCGACGGCGCCTTAGTGATCATTTATTCCAGGATCGCTGAATATCGCCGCATCTTAAGTGAGCTGCAGTACCAGATTGACCGTGAGATGTCACACTCAGGTGAACGATCGGCGACGGTCGAGAACCTGCGCAACTACCTCGCGCAGATGGAGCAACAGATTGTGATCGTACGCGACACAGGCGTTTCAGCAGTCAGGATTCTCCACGACGAGATCCACGACCAGCTCCGCAACCGACCACCACCAGCCGAGGCCACCGACCTTGGCGACGTTCAGCCTCAGATCAACGATCTTCGATCCCACATGGACCGCACTACGGCGACGCTTCGCGCCGAAGCACACGCCAACTCGTCGAACCTGATCGGCATGTTGCAAAATACTGAGAGAGTTATCACTCAAAGGCTTGATGCGACCAACGCGATCGTGCAGCCACTCGCTAACCGGATCTCTGAAATCGAGCAGCGTTTTCTTGGTGTACAGGACGCCCTGGCAGAGTTGCGTGTCGGACGAGCCCAGACTGGCCAGCTGGATTCTCCTCCCACGGTTTACGATTTCGCCCGCCTCACTGACAGGTTGCAGGAGGTCGAGAAGGCGGCGGACCACGCGCAGTCTGAGCTCTCCCAGGTCTTTCGTGAGAGAGATACTGGAAAGGTACGTGTTGAGGAGCGCCTCGCACGTCTGGACAGTGAGTTGGAGGCGCACAACGCCCGTCTCCGAGCCCACGAGCAACGACTTGACCGGCAATCACAACGCTCTCGGGATACTGACGAGTACACACGCCAAAAAGTGGACCAGCTACACGAAGATATGACGAGCTGGACAAATCAGCTGATTGACTACACCAATGACACCATACTTCACCTTCAACCTGCAACCGACCTGCACAGGCCGACGGCAGCGTCCGCTGAAGCACCACGCGCTTCTGCAGGACAACAACGACGTACGTCACCAGGAGCAGCCTCCGCGGCAGCTTCAGCAGAGACACGCCAAGTGTCTTCCGTGCGCACAGAACCAACTACCGACGGTGTACCGATACCCTCACAACCATTGTCTGCGGTTTCGGTCAATACTACTACACCGATAAAGGAGCCAGACACCGTCCGAGTCCCTGTCTTGCCTAAGATCACACAGCTGCTTGAGTGGCAGCAACAGGTACGGAATAATTTCGGAGCCGCCTCAGGGCGACCATCCAAAGCATATGCCTTCCTATGCGTGGCCGAACAGCCCGAGTGCACTTTCGAAGACTCACAAGACAGCGGAGACTTTGAGAGCATCGATTGCAAACTCGCGACCGCTCTCAGCGACATCTTATCTTCCGACTTGCGCTACCAGATCAGGCTCATCGAGACCAGAGAGCACAACACAGGACGCATGCTCAAAGGACGCCAGATCTACTGGCACATCATACAGTCCTATAAAGTGACAGAGGTTGATGACGACCTGCATGATTTCGAGCGCCTCAAAGAACTGAGGATGAGAGATGAAGATGTGTCACGTTTCATTACTGATTGGGACGCTTTACTGTTGGATTGCCGAGAGGCACCCGACCCAAAGATCTTGGAATTTCTGTTTCGCACGCAGATTCGCCGGCATGCCTGGATAAACCAGGATATGTACGAATACCAGCGCATGAAGACCAGCGGCCCGAATCGTACCTATGATTGGCTCCGACAGCGCGTCCTGGACGTACTGGAGCTCAAACAACTGGAAAAGAATCAAACCAAGTTACGGTACGAACATGAGACTCGCTATCAGGTACATGTCTGCGCTGCCTGGAAGAAAGGCAACTGTCGCAATGGTGAGCGATGCAAAGCTTTACATACCTTCTCCAGGGATTGGAAGAGCAGCAGATCTTCCAGAGCATCGACCGCTGGTGGCAACTCTCGCCGCAGCGTCTCAGCCCCTGCGAATCCCAGGAAGCCGGCATCGAATCCGTTTTGCTTCGAGTTCGCCGAGCGCAACACCTGCGCCAGAGGCGACAAGTGCAACATCCCTCACAAGGCGCAGCGCAGAGACTTCGCAAAGAACAAGTGCCCCAAGGGTGACAAATGCAAATGCGCGCACCT